CCCGGGCCTGCCTCGCCCCGCCGCACCGCGCTGCCGCCGCGATGTCCCTCCTGCTTCCCTCGGCCTTTCCTGAAGCCTAGGGCCCAGGTGCAGGGGCGAATTCGCAGCACGATTGTAAGGCGGTGAAGTTTCTCTCCGGAAATAAAGTTTGCGTGCTTGCCCTGCAAAAGATGAGATGGGTCCAAAACGTGAAAAACGGTGTGAGAAACAAGAACAAAAAAAAAAAAAAGCATTTAAAGCCAGGTAAAGTATTGGGAAGGGGCTTGGGTACTGTCCACGGGGCAGGTCGTTAGGCAGGATAGGATGGAAAGGTGGAGGATGCCAGTGAAGGAGCAGGTCGTTGTACGGAGGCATGCAGAGAAGACATGTTGTCCAAAAAGGCTGGGATAGGGGTAAGGGCATTGACAGTTCCAGATAAGTTGGCTATAAATTTATATGATTCACTTATCATTTTAAAGTTGACCAGATACACATGAAAACCTTCTGGTTTGATGTTTGGAAAGGAAGGGAGCTTGCTCCTACCAGCTCTTGACAAGTGGAGACCTCTGAGGATGCAGGAAGCTGGGAGCAGATGCCTGCCCCGTCTGGGGTCAGGCGGGGAGAAAAAGACAGCATGTACCCCACCTTCCCCCTTCCTCTCTGTTTGGACTTGTGCAAGCACCTGCCAGGCTCCAGCATCTCAAAGTAAAAATTATGGGAAGTACATGCATAATCATTTTTTCTGAGTGAGATGACGGTGTTTAGAAACCAGAAGAAGGATTTTTCAAAGTTTTAGGCTGAATGGAAATGGACTTGCTGCAGGTATCAGCTGATAAACAACAGATAAACACTAAATTGAGCATCACACACTGATTATCTAGGTGAACTGTGTATTTTGCATGTGTTTGGAAGGCTTGGATGCAGAGGCTACGGTCAGATAAAACTGCCCCATTCTCAGGCTGGAATTTTTTTGTCCTTAGAAAAGGGCTGTCTGTGAAATATTGAGAATGCTCATACGGTGCTTCTCTTCCAGACAACAACTGGCAATTGTTAAGAAGTGCCTGCCCAAATACCACAGGAAAGAGTTGAGTCCGTTCACTAGCAGTGAGTTCAGCATCAGGGAAAAACATTATAAACACTAATTATCTTAGCAACCAGGAGCTCCAAGGACGGCTGAGCATTCAATGGATAAGCCAAGAAGATTTTTACTAAAACTGCAGTAGGTTTATGATCCCAGGATAGCTGCCTTTTTGAAGTGTCTTGTTAAAACTTTGTTTTTTCCCCAAAGGTGTTTCCTTGGCTTCAGGGAAATATATTCCATAGAATCAGTTCTTACCATCTAATGCAACTAACTGGCAGGAAATCCAGACACAAACTAGTGATATCTGTAGCATTTTGCTTACTGAAAAGACAGGTTAAAACCCAACTGTGATTATTCTGTCTACTCTGAGGCTAAACTACTCTAAGGAAAATGGGCTAAATCAAAAAATGATTAAGGGGTGGCTGCACTGAGAAACAACAGACATTTCAAAAAGAGGTAAAAACAACTGACAGTACTGAGAAGGTACAGAGTCGTGTCATTTCTCCCCCAGTTTCCCCTCCCTCCTGGCCAGCCTGAAGAGTTTTGGGTAGCGAATGAGAAGAACTGAGAGCAGAGAGGAGCGTGGAACATATCTGGAGTAGGTCCAGTTGCCCCTGAATGGCCAGTGGTTGCAGGAATGCTAAAGGGAAATGTGAGATATGCACTTAGTGTGGTGAAAGAGAAACTTTACCAAGTAAAGTTGGGTATCTGGAGAATGTCACTAGCAATAAGCCTCTGGAGCTGGTACATGTTGATTTCTTGCCTCTGGAAGTAGGCATAAGGAATGAAGTTTGCTGTGAAATGCAGAAGTATACGGTTCAGCCATGAAAGAAAAGGAGAGACGTTGAAATGAGACATCCCACCTATGACTGTATGACTGTAGACTGTAAGAACCCAGATCAAAGTAAGCATGGGCTCGAGATAAGGCATGATATCTGCAGTGACCGTGCAAAAATGAGTTCTGCAAAACTTGAGTATTATTGGGAATGGTGGCCAAGATATTTTGGGAAGATCTCTATTTTCCACCTCTTAGTGGAAAAAATGTATCAATGCAAGATTATATAAAAACAATGAAATTTGAGGAAGGGAAACTAAAGGGTGTCTTAATGAGATGGTCTATGATTTTGGCTGTGGGAAAGGTCTTGAAAACAATTTCTTGCCGATGTCTGGAATAAGCCTCTGAAAGACATTCAGCCATTTGCAGATGCAGAAAGCCAGCCATGGAAAGGAGTCTGAAAAGGGAGATGCAACCTAATTTGTCCTAATATAGACTGTAGCTGTTCTCTTCTTGTGAAAACCTGATTTCTTCTGATGCAAGCTAAATGGGAAAAGGATTTTTGTTCTTTCATTCGCATCAGCATGTCCTGAAAAACAACTACCAAGAATGACATGCTTTTCTGTCCCCCAAGGAAGGGTTTTTGGCAACACCTGTATCAATACCTGACAACATCTGTTAGGCAGCATGCATGTAGCAGACTGTATTTTTGGTTTCCTCTGAACTTTTGGCACTACAGCAGAACAGCAAGGAACTTATGTTAGAGGGGCCCCATTAGATCTCTCATTGTACCTAGCCCGAAGAGCAATCTGGACTTCAGTACACCAGTATCGTCTTAATACGCTTGACAGAATCATCAGGCCTGAAAAAATTATTAGTTTCTCATGGACTTGAATATCAGAACTGGTGTATATATATATAACTTGCAGTATTGGGAAGCAGTTTTTAAGATCCCTTAAGAGGGAGAAAGAAGAAATGGACTTGATGTAAGAGCCAGAGTGTATGTGCCAGGAAAGCAAATTCTTGACTGTGTGAGTAGGGGGATATTAACTTTGGTCAAAAGATCAGTGGAAAAGAATTTACCGCTACCATCTTACAAGCAAAGAATAGCCAAGACCTGTTTCAAAACCTCACTGGGCAGAAGCTCCACAGGGTCAGAAAGTTGTTGCCACCATCCAGAAATGAAACAGAAGCCAAATAATCAAGTCTTCACTTGCATGTGTGCAACTGGTTTGACTTTCATTTACGTTTTGGTACAGAACTAACAAATTCTATTATCTGATGGTGTGACTAATGGAATCTGTGGTTTCCGTGAAAGGACTTAATCTGCTAGTGTTTCTTTAGTTTTAAGAGGATTCCAAAGGCATTTAGAGTTGATTAGTCACATACACCAAAGCCCAATTCTGCAAGATGCTCTGTGATGTGCCTACCTCTGAGGTACAGATCACTTTGTCACATCACGTTTGGAATCTTTATTTAACATTTAAATAAAAAGTGAAGGTAATATCACTTTTATTATGACTATTGTTAAGCATCAAGCTTACCAGCACAAGACTCTCAAATGTTTTCAAAGGCTTGTTTTTACACTAAGGTGCCTCAAGATAAATCCCTGTTTGCACATAGACACCATCATAGCGAAGATAGTTATCTACAGTGTAGGTGGTAAAACTGCACGATGTGCTGAGAGATAAGAGAGTTCCTAAGTGCTGAGTATGTGGAGAAGAAGGCAAGCACAGGTTGCTGGCTGCACTTGTAGCCCTAATTTCTCTCCTTGCCCAGATTGGGGGGATGCTGAAGATCAGACCTCTCCGTCTGCAATACCCTGAAAAATCAACTAATTTAATCAGGCATCAAAATCTTTATTGAGATGTGTCTTGTGTACCCCTTTGTGAAAAACAAGGTTATCAAAATTTTATAAAGTAATATACTGATCGCAAGTAAATTCCTGTTTCCTTAAGTAATGGAGGAAAATAGTGGCAAATGAAAACTAAGAAAACATTTCCAGGCTTACTTAGTGTTTTCTGAGCAATTATTGTCTTTATTTAAGGTATTGCAAAATTTAGAATCATCCAGGCTTTTCTCTCCCAATCTCGTTTTTTTAAAGCCTTTCCTTTTATTCTTTTCTTTTTAATAGCTGTCTGTGTCTGAACAACATGGAGTATCATGACTTTACAACAGCAGTGTAAAACTTACCACATAACTACAAGATCTGAATCAGGAAGACAGTCTCTTTAGATTCACAGCAGAAGGAATGGTCTTCCAGACATAGCACCTGTAAATGAAAAGATAGGGCAGGAAGAGCTAGAAGGTAGGTGGAGCTCTCAGAGCTCTGTGTCTCCACAGAGCATCATCACGGAACATAGATGCGACATGCTAAAATCCAACTATTCTAGCATTCGCTTATTAACTGTTTAAGAAAAATGCTTAAAATTGGCTCTGCGAGTCAGAGTCCATAGAGAAGTATATACATATGTGAGATTTCAGACACCTACACATATCTATGTCAGAAAAGCAAGAGTATGCCAGGTATCTATAACAACATTTTATTTGGAAAAAAGTTTCGGACACTTTGTCCTTATTTGAAACATTCTCTAATTCACTTAAAATACAAGAACGCCAAAGGACAATATCAGCTATTCTAGGGCAAAATAGTGTACTGCAAGTCTCCAAACTGAGCAGAAATTGAATAAGAAGGGGAGGCAAAAAGCAAGATGGAAAAGACGAGAAAGAAGAGGTAAAACCTCAGTGAGGCTTTTTCAATCTTTGTAAGTTTCAAAGTACAAATATTGAATTGCTTTTTATCCTTATGTTATGTCTTTGTATTTTTTTTTTTCTGATAAGTAATAGTTTTTACATATTTGGAATAAGACTTCAGTGATAGTGCTTGTTCCTACATGTAACTATGTTTTTGCACTGACAAGGAAAGAGGATGCTTGGAATATGCTGGAGAATGAGAAAGAAAATGGCAGAAGGAAGTGAGTGCAATTCAGGCCACTAGGATGCTTATCTTCTGGCATTACATCAACACAGCTACCATATGGAACCCTTTATATCTCTGTCTTCACTACCAGTAGCAACTTTGGGTGAATGTCTCTCACCTGTCAACATTTGTTAGCCTGATCAATTCACGCCCCATTGCGACTGGCAAGGGATCTTCATGTGTCATTCACCCATCAGAATTAGCTGCCAGCTATCCCAGACATGCTGATGGATGGAAGATACCAGATGAGAAATGACAGCTTAGTGCTTCAGCAAGGAGTAAAGATGAGAGCCAAGGAAAGTGAATGCGGAGGGCAGGTGAGGGGAACAAGGGTGTGAACACAGGGGCAAAATCAATTGAAGCCACGCTTCCCTGATTTTCTTTTCCAGTCCCTGCTTTCCTTCACCCCCATATTTTGTTCTGGTTCCGCATCACTGCAGTCAAAGGAAATTTTGCAGCTTCAGTGAGGGCAGGATCGAGCCTTTGTCCAGCTCTTGCTTTCCATCTGTTTCATTTTTATTTCTTCCCTTTCAGCATTTCCATGGATTTGTCCATCAATCCACAGTTCAACAAGGAGGGGAAAGAAAATATCACACTCCCTACTAAATTCTGCTGGGATCCTCCATCTGCGCCTGATGTTCCCAAGGCATAACAGAGATAATGTGAATTGACATTAAGTCATGTCCATGTCTTTCCAGTGTAACAAAAAATGTATATTCTAAGCTGGAGGACCGACTGCAATACTTGTTGACATAGAAACTGGGGAGTAATACTTGGCCTCCGGAGTTAATCCCTGAAGTCCTGCTCGCAGGGCACAGTGTTCCATTGACCTCGTTTCTTCCACTCAAGGCGGGGAGAAAGGTCATTATGCCTGCCAAGAATATCCATCTTGTCAGCAATGTCCCCAGCAAATATCTTGCTGTGTCTGACTGGGGCACGCTGTCACCAGCACGTCTAACTTCATTTTGTGTCACAGGAGCCAGAGAAAAGGAGGAGGTGGCAGCAGTGAGAGGTTGGAAAGCTGAGTAATGTTTTCCTTCTTTCAATATTGAAAGTGTCAAAAGAAAACCAGTGTTTGATTTTGCAGCACCCAAAGTCTACAAGATACTTACACTGAAGCAAATTTTTAAGAGCAAATTTAACCCAAGTCACAGATGTTGTAAGATTGACCAAAATTAAAGTTTTCTTTGTGTTTCCTAATTTTTGCTGAGCATTTTTTTAAATTATGATCTACAAGAAAAACAAAACTTGTTTTCAACCCAGAACCCCTTATAGCGTTGTCCGGTCTGGGAGAAAGAGGTGAAATGAACAAATACGATATAATGACACTAACAGATGTTTTTAAGGCTAATAATCCATTGTATTATTTTTAAATTAGGAAGAAGCATAGGAAGAAATCCTAGTACAAAATAATTGATAAGTCTTCCACTGATATTGATGAAAATGGAAGGATGGATAGTTATTTATTTTTTAGGATAATATTTACCATATAGGAGGCAGACCTGGCTATTATAAAGGGGAGAAATATTTCATATTGGAGAGGTAAGATAAAATATGACCTTATATGCATAAACTAAGGTTCCAGTTTGCACACAAACTTGTCTTTTTCACTGCATAAAAATGTGAACTTTTAGAGAGGACGTAGGGAGGCAAGTGCCCTGCCCATAACTGTACACTCGGAACCAAATTTCTCTCTCATATTCATCAGTGGGCTTCGGGGATAACTCCACTGAAGAAGTACTTTGAATTTACAACACATTACATGAGAGCAGGATTTTACCCAGCGCTCTCAGTTAGATTTTCAGACTGCTTGTCCACTTCCTTTCTGCTCCAAATTCAAGCTGGATGTTAGTCAGCCTGGATGTTTGCCACCTCTGCCTTATCACAGATCCATTTTGACTGCGTCTCTGAAACTGCGCTGGAGGCAAGAAAATCATAATCTATCTCCAACATATTTATGGCAACACTCTGGGCCTAGAAAGGGGCTGTGGTGACAGATGCTGTTCTGACACCCCAGAAGAAAAGAAGTTCTAATTGTCAATGTTAGGAATAAATGCAGAATACATGCACCAAAACTTTACCCTGTCTGAGAGCTGCTGCTCACAACTATATACGGTGGTTGTCGATTGTGTATTTAGATTCCTATGTACTATATTGCTTTTAACAGGCACTACTGTTTAAAGCTATCTGAGTTCGGAACAGAGTTGGCCTATAGACTCTTTCAGTGGTGAACAGACTAAACCTGTTCTTACGGCCTAATTTACATCTATTTTGAATGATCTGTTTTGCTTTACCTAGGTGAGGTCCTTACCTGTTCCCCACCTCTGCCTCCATTCCTGACCTAGATAAGCGAGAGTAGATTGCACCCTGGAATTGAAGGTTAACAATTACACTGAACGTCTCCAAGGCAGAATGAGTCATGTCTCCAAGCTGAAATGTTCCTTCCTGTGAGGGAAAATAATATCAAATGTAATTCACCTGATCTGATCAGACATTTTGTTTCTGCCTCTGACACAATATTGCAAGAGTCTTTTAGAAACTTCAGTGCTATATGCAGCGCAGTGGAGATGGCTAACCTATTTGTGAAAGTAGCTGCTTAATTTTAGCTACATTTACCTATATTAATATTCTGCAGAGGATTATCCCTTTGCTCAACTCACTTAAGAACGGGGGGCAGGGAGCTTTATTCCCTATCTCCTATCACTTAATAGGAAGACAAAGTTTCAAGTTATTGTGGGAATTTTAATGGTCATTGCCACCTAGAGATGAAAAGTCTTATCAATAGAAATAAATTAGGTTAGACTCAGACTAGTGCAGCTATAGCCTGGAAACTGATGGGAGACAAAGAAGGAAACAAAAGTAGAAAAATTTATCTTTATAAAATAAAATTATAATACATATACTAATTCATTAGCTTTAAACTGCAGTCAGCAAAGATGCACAGATATTTTAGCTCAGATGCATTTTCCTGCACTGTGGGAGTCTGACTGGAATTTTTACTCACTCCAAAGTGAACTCTTCTGTCATTTCAAGAGGGATTTGGTTTCTGGCAGGGAACTTAACATCCCTGTAATCTTAACTTTATAACCAGGTAACCGTTCTATTCTACTGTAACAGCTATTCATGAACTATACAGCTCACCTTCCTTAGCTGTCAGGGAAAGAAATGATATACTACTGATTGGTTTCTTTACATTTGTGTTGCTACTGATGACAATTAACTGTATGACATCCCTTTTTGGCCATAGGGGACCCCACCGCCACCCCCCCAAGACTCACATAGCTTTCTTCATTAGTTTATAGCAAGGAAAATAAGTCTATGGGTATTCAAACTGGATTCACAACAAAGAGATACCATGACAAAAGCATATGTGGTTTGGGTTGTATCACTTCCCTTATTTCCTATGTGAGAGAGGAGGTATTGATGACATTGTGAAAAGCACTGGTGAAAGTTCACCTGGTACAGGTCTTATGGGAGCGTTTAGGAAAGAGGAGTTCAAACTGGAACAGACCCAGAAAAGGGTTACTGGGAGGACTGGAGAGCAACAAATCTTAAGAAACAAGAACAGACTAGAAGAGTTTGGTTTGTTTAGTCTAGCAAAATGAAGACTGAGAGGGGATACGGCTATTTATGCTTCCTTTAAGGCCAGTCAAAAAGCAGGGTGCTACTTAAGCTAATGGAAAACGTTAGCACAAGAACAAAAGGATATAAGCTATCTGGAAATACATTTGGGTTGGAAATTGGATGATTTATAGCTCCCAGAGGAATGAATTACCTCTTAATCAGAAGACTAAGCAATAAACCTAGTTAGTTTTATGAAAGAGTTTGATGCTATTAAGAAAGGTGAGGCGCCTGTGACAGCAGGGAACGTGTCCTGCTGACCCTCTTGGACATATACCAGGTACCTTCCTGGTATCACTTCAAACGTGATAGTGATGAGAATAGTTTATGATAGTGGAAAGGGAAGGGAAAAGAAAAAGAAGATTTGTACTTATAAAAAAGTAAGATCATAGGGCTCCAAAGGAAATATAGTGATATTGCCTACCTGTTATTAACATAACTAATAACTTTTAAAAAGGAACTGATGTAAGAAAATGAGTTTAAAAGACATTCATTTTAACCATATCAATTTCCTTTTTTTTCCACTTTATATATATAACATAAGTTAGACATTCATCCTAAGAAAAAAACTAACTGCCACAGCTAGTTTCTAACATTATTTACAATTTAAATCAGGAGGCAGGCCCCAGGGAATTGAAGGAAAGGACAACCCTTCCATTATTCCCCCTACCCTAGAAAGCCCTCACCCTTCTTCATCATTATTATAAGGAATGTCTGGTATGCAAGTATGAGTCAATCAGATCCCTGCAGTTCTATTGTGACTGTGAATCCTGAATTGAGACTAAGCACACTTGTGAGCAGGAAGCCAGTTTCCGAACACTGTCCAGAGCATTACAGTAAGTATTATGCATTTGCTAAGTGCAGGTCTACATCTTACCACAGAGCAGATCACGATAGGTAGAAACATTCAATCTGCAGTCTCCAAGTCTCCTCTGTTAGCGCATGCAGTCTATCTAACCTTCAGCAACACTCGGGTTCTTTTTCCAGAGACATAATTTCTGCTCAGTGGATATAGATAGGAAAGCTGTAAACAAAGACAGTCTGATATGTGGCAGCAGTCTCTTAAAATGAAAGTGCAGAATTTTTATTAACCCATCAGCCTCAGTTACAGTCTCCTTGGGGGTTTCCTTTCTGCTCTCAGAAATAAGATAAACCGTGCTGGCCGCTCCCCCACGACACTTGGAACCTGGGCTCTGCCCCTCTTGGCTGCCCATGGGAAGAGGGTGGGCAGGGAGCAGGGACTCCACCAAGCTTGCTTACTAAGTAAGCATGCTGGCCAAGCCAGAATTTTACCTTACGCAATTACTTCTTAGTGATGCCTGCAAATATGTGCTCTAGCCAAACACGCGTATCATCCCAAAGCGCGGAGGAGAAAAGAAGCTATTGCTTGAAAGAGACTAGAAAGGAGAACGGCAAACCTTTGGAGGTCTGCATCTAAGGAAGCCGAGCGAGTTAAAGCCTTGAGAGAGGAGGTGGAATTGCCTTTGTTAAAACATAAGGAAGTTAGTTCACCACAGATCTTGGATCCGCTGTAATGTCTATTGAAGTCAACAGGAAGATTCCTATTAAGTTTAACAGGTTTCATCAGTTCCTGTATAAGGTGAAAACAAGAGCTGCAGGTGCTAATTAAAGTGGGTAACAAGACTCAAGACCTTTTATTTAAAAAACAAAGCACCCAATCATGCAGCCACACACACAGTTCTCCCTAGCCTGAAGAAAACTTTTCAAATATGATCATCTAATAATCAACAGAAGAATAATCAGCAACAGATCACACTCTCCTTTTTAGCTTGAATACTGGTCAAATACTGGAACCGCTGGGAGAACTTTATCGTCATTTCACTTCAAATCTTATCCTATTTGATTCATAGCTAATGGAACGGTAACAAGTACTCTCTCTTTACAGGAGAAAAAAATTAGAGGAAAAGACTGCCTATGGAGGCTTCCAAGCTCCTAGTATTGAGTCTATACCAGCATTTGACAGTGAAACTCAGAGGAGTCAGAGAAGTCATCTTCAAAATCCAGTACAGGAAGGCCTCTGTACTGGATCATTAGGACTAGTCTGCTACTCTTGCAGACAACTGCAAAAATGCCAGTGACTTGCTGCCTAATTTAGATTTTCCCTGCAAAATCACTACTACAAATGGAGTTGCTCAGGGTGATCTGGTGTAGAAGGGTTCCTAAAACTGTTAGTCTGCACAAGTTTCAATTCTACAGTCCTTCGCCGCATTTTGTCTTGTAATAAAACTTGCACGCCTTTCTCCAAAATGCATTTCATGAATTGTTCAAGTGCTTTCTCACCATTCATATTGTGATCTGAGGTTTCCTCCCTTTAATCTGACAGTAAAGATGAAAGGCTGTTTTAGAAAAGAAACACAGCAAAACCAAAACATGGACTGAAGCTCTGGGTGGATTGTTCCTTCTGAAATCAAAACGGTGTGAACACACACGTGTGCGTGTGTGCGCGCACACACACAGACACACACACCTCCCCCCCCGCCCCCCACAATTTGACTAAGCAATGGCTAATAAGAAACGTATTTCTGAAAACCCCTTTAAGGGACTAAACAACAAACTAGGAAGAAGGGGTGAGGTCCCTGCAAAAGTCAAAAATAGGAATAACGGAATGAGTTTAAAAAATAAAAAATGCAGGCTTATTATCAAGAAAAAGACTTGAGATTCAAGTTCCACAAAAGTGAAAGGGTGAAAGTCCATTGCTAGATATAAATGTCTGAAAAGAATGTGGTCAAATGACTCTTATTTCTCTGATGAAAGAGATTTAAGAAAGGGAATTTTTTCTTCTGCCTTCAAGGTACATTTTTTCTAAATGGGTATTTTGGGTTTTCATCTCAGAAATACTGACATAGTAGAAATATGAGAAAATAGTATCAGTTGCATTGTAATGATAATACCATCCATAAACAGCTTTATGAACATCACAAAACAACTGATCTTTCATGGGATCTAAAGGTCTAATCCTGCGTCTGGGTTAACCTCAATTTTGCTTTACTGTAATAGGAAAAAGCAGTTAGGTTATCATCTGTTTTTTAAAGAAAGACCTGTGTTGCTCAATCTGAACTGAAACAAAAGGAAGTTAACTACCCCACAACCTTAGAAATCCTTGCACATAGTCTTCTTGGGGACTAGAACCTCTTTACCATGTCCTCTTTACCACGTCCTCTTTACCAGTATGAAAACTTCATTCCATAACTGTCTTAAATTGTTGGCTAAGACCAATTACGTCCTCTTCAGGATCTGCAAGAGCAGTTCATGTTTAAGTCCTCCACTGATGACGGCTTAGAGTGAGTCTCGTCCCAGATTGCTGGTTACTGAGCAACTGCACGTCTCCAAACGGAGGTGTTGTACTAATCCACTTCGGTCAGATGGACTGTTAGGAACCACACAAGTATTCACTATGTTACAGAAATAAGAAAAAATAAAGAATTACATGAAATTTGTTTGGCAAAAGATTTCTGGTGCTGAAAGAAAGTCATAATTAGTTTTAATACATTATAAACATGCATAGGACTTCTGGCATGTAAAAAAAACCAACTAGCATTCCCAGAAGTTGTCATAATGAAGACTGCTGCAGAGACTTCTCCGAGGCAAATCTCCGTACTAGTCTGGATCTCCCTGACTTCAAGCCCAGTCCTGCAGGGTTTATTTATGTGGTCAATTCCATTTGCAGTATTCATGCCCGTACAGATAGATAAACTATTTATGAAAGACCGAGCCTTAACTCAAACAAGTCACTGTAAGGAATAATAAAAATAGAAAAAGAACATACATATTTGAAATACTTCAGGCTCCATAATATCATGCTGTAAAATAAAATTGATGTAGAAATTGAATTGGAAATTGGAAATTGATGTAGACTAATAGAAGGGCCCTACTTCCTACCTAATTAAATACTATGACAAAGTCATATCCTTTTCATATGAAGACTATTTTAAATCTTTAATATTTAATCTGTCAAATATTTTTTGGTAGATCTCTTATAGAGCTATGTCTGAAGAGATTGTATTTCATCTGAGGTTACCTTCTTGGACCATCTTAGTAAAGGACACACTTTTATTTCTTACTTTTAACAGAAGTCACTATTTATTAAATACTGGTTAATATTGGTTACGTTCCATAGTCCATATCATTCAGGAAATCATGCTGGATGAGCATAATAGTTTAACGTGTTTTTTCATCTTTTGACTATTTACATTTGGAACAAATGACAGTAGATGGATTACCTTTTGAGATTATGCAGATGTGACAGTTCTTTTGAGATCATCTTCTCTGTACTATAAGTTTTTAAGGCAAGTTTTAATGGATTTTTTTTTTTACATTTTTACAGTTTCCTCAAATAAACTGTTTAATTTTCCAAGCTGTAATTTTATCTCCCTAATCCTATATCCTGTTTAAAATTGCTTACCTTTTATTAATTACAGAGCATATAGCTATATTTAGACTAGATACTTAAAATGCTTTACGGAATCTTCTGACTAGCGATATTTTCATGATTTAAAAAACTAACATATTCAATGAAAATGAGTTTCATTCTCACCTCAATACACTGTCCCATACAGTACTCACCTAAGACAAAAATTACCTACAATAACAGGGGTCTTTTGAAAAATGTTATATGTGCCTTTATTCATCTATAGGGAGTACACTTCTGTGAAATGCTTAGTTTGCTCCAAACATTTAGTTCCCACACATTTGTGGGAGTAGAGAGTTGAAAGTGACTGATAGTTCTAAGTACTACCATCTGAAAAGTGCCTAACTGTGGCTGTGAAAATCTATTTAAAAGTCGGTTATTCCCTTGCTGGAGTTCAATACTAATCAAGAGGCAAATATTGTCTTATCTTCTTGCCCATTTTCCAGACTGAAATGCTTCATGTCTTAAGAATGCGTGCCCTTTACTGGGACTGTGGATGTGCTCTGTGCTCCGATTTTGTGGGAGTTTCCCTTCTACTGAAGCCACACACACCCTTCATTATTTTCTTCTCCTTTTCAGACTCAATCTCTTGTCTTCCTTTCCATCCTCAAAATGAAATAAGAAACTCGATCACTGCAATGTGGCTTCACAGCAGTACACCTCCTCTTGGAGTGTTTCCAAACTTTGTAACTACACAGCTTTGTGGAGTACCTTGGAAGCAATCATCTAAGAATACTCTGTGAAACTCGTGATAGATTTGCATGATTTATAGGGAACACCAAAGGAATTAATAGTAACAAGATCATCAACAAAATGTCAAAACTCCTTACAAAATCAAGAAGGCAAATCATAGACTAAAGGATAATTAAACACAGACTCTCCTTTCTTTATTAAGGCACTAACCTTGTAATGGGAAGTCTGAGATCTAGTCTCAAATCTGCCAAAGGCTTCCCTGGATTTGCAGCTCTCGTGTGCAACTGCAGAGCCAAAACATTTATACTGTTTGGTTTGTTATCCACGAAGATCTCACAGAGGTTGCATTAAGGAAACACTCTGGAGAATATCTGTATGTTTATGTAACACAGTATCAAATATAAACACATTACTAGCACATTGAGTTGAACTATTGACGTGTAAAATGTAATACGGAGAGGAGGCATGGTCAATGCCCCCTTTAATGGAGAAACATAGAACTAGTACATATTCCTTCTGACTGATGTCTAACTCAAATCAGTATATTGCAGAGGGGGAGAAAAAGATGGGTTTAACATATTTCAAGCTTAAAGATTTTCAGTTGTGTAATTGTCTGTTTGGGATTTTCACATGCAATTAAGGGTAATAATTCCCTACTGCAATCATTACCATAATGGGTCTGCTGAAGAACAGTCAGGCAAAATATAAATGTTCTCAGCTCATCTCCAATGAGATCGAGATGGTTGGGGCACCACATAGCAGGCAGACTGATGCCTTATTTCAGGTCTACTGGACCTGCTCCTCTTCACAGTCAGTGGATATTTATGTGACATGGCAATTTTTGAATTCTTCTTGAAATACTGAACTCTGTACGTATCTGTACAATGGCAATCTCTGTTTTCTTTTCAGTGCCTCATTTGTGCCTTTGTGTTGGCTCTGCAGGCTTCACATACAGTTAAAACATGTAGGCAGGGTCAGGAAAAAGCTCCTCACACTGCTGGGGGCTCTGTGTTCAACCTGGAAGATCCTCTGTTCAGATGGAAGCACTTTTGGGCACAACTGGTCAAACCAAGAGAACCCCTTGGGTCAAGTGAGCTGGCAACTGAAACAACAGTTGTTGGGACTGGAAATGGACAGAGCTCACCAAGACATTGCACAATAAAAAAAGAACAAGTTACAAAAGAACCCATCTCTTATCAGTCATTTTACCCCCAGACTTTTCTAGAGTCGGGAAGTGGATACAATGTGAAGGTCTCTGGTCTACTTATAGGGGAACTGAAGGTAATGAGGGAAGAAAAGCCTATTATCAGTAAACTTAGACTGTCTTATGTGGAGGCTAGGCCTTCGGCTTCTGTCGCTTCCTGAATGATCTGTCACTTCTTCTGAGTTGCCTGAATGAAGCGTGAGTTTTAGAACTCCTTTTGCAAAATCTGTATCTTGCTGCTTCCGTTGTATCATGCTTCTGCATAGACAAGCTCTGATCCAAAGGTGAGTTGCAGGCCATACGGCTGAGCCTCTGAGAAGAGACATGCATGAGCTACTGACGTGATTTCTAGGAAGCCCACGGTAAGTAAAAGTCTAGTCATGGAGAACATGGCATTGCACATCTCTGCAGAACCTGCGGACAATCATCTTCCTGAACACCAGGAGGCAGCACCCATAATCTGATCACAATCAGAATGTCAAAAAAGTATACAGACCCCAAAATCCAGGGTCTGAATGTCCAGCCAGGATACTGGACCCAAACTGCAGCACAGAGTGTGCTCTTCCTTTCCTCTTTCAGCAACTAAAGATCATAAACCAAACTTCAGGAAGCAGAGGTCAGGGTGGACCTATACACTTCATAGCCATCCTGAAGCTACAAACTCATTGTCAGAGATCAGCAAAGACACAACAAGCTATGGAGGTAAGTTTTTGTTCTCTTCCAAAAGCAGTGCCTCTTGATGGTACTGAAAATAAAGTTGCAAAGGTTTTCGGAATTCAAGAGCAAAGCTAGCATTTTCATTTTAACTGGTATGTGGTCCCTAGAGAATTAAAGTATAAGTGGGCCTTGCCAATGACAGTGACAGAGGGACACCTGCCCCATAGGTCTCATCAGTACCAAGCAACAAGAATCCAGAGTGAAGTTTCCACTTCTAGGGTCCTGGTCCAAACTCACTGCTTTGTTGAAGCTAGTCAGACCGTGCTGAAGCAAGGACGTGCTTTTCTCCTTCGTTTCAGTCATCCAACTCCAGCCTTCCCCCCGTTCCAGGGGAGCTGGACAGCACTTTGATATAGGTAGCCACAGAGGGGTCAGACAAGGGATACCAGGACTGGGACCATCTCTTAAAAAAGAGGATTGATGCTGCACAAATCCAGCAGCCTTAGAAGCATGCAAATTCAACAGTAAAGCCTAGGTGCTGTACCAGCTACTGACCATCCACCAGAAAAACTCCATTGCATTTGAAACACGATGCACAATGCCTCTAAGAGAACACTACCCTCTGTGCCCCTTTTTATTACTGCTCTAAATCCATTTATTTAAACTATGTATTTGTTTGATATATAGAATAAGCAATGTCAGAGAGAACCTAATTCAAAAATGTATTGGGTTTTAATTTGGTAAATATCTTTGAGAAGATACTATTTTTCTTACGTAATTCTTCATCTGACATAACTCCATCTTCTTCAGTGCACTTGAAACAACCTTTCCCAGATGAAACATAGGTGGTGGTGCTGTCTGTACAGCTGCCCAAAATGGGCACATCTCCATCTCCTAGAGAAAATGCCTAGCCGAGTCCGAAATGTAGCATCAGCACACCTGCAAAGAAAGAATCTCTTCATATCTTTCTCTTCAACTTTTTTTTCCTCTGTCACATAGGAGAAAGTTGCTTTATATCTCTGTCAACCCTTAAAAGATGGAAAGATTTTCTGTATTCAAGGCCATCATTTAGACGGACCCTGCTCTGTAAAATGCTTAGTAGTTTAGGGGCTGGACATTAGAGGAGGTCTCCTCTTCACCTGAAATTGGCATATGTTTAAAAATGCTATGGTGGCATTACGGCACATTTCCTGAAAATATAAACATCAAACTGGTGTGCACAGCAACAATTGCTGGCTAGAGGGAACTGGCAGCCAGTGGCCAAAATAAAGGAGATTATACCTTGTTTGGTATCTTTTCTTTACAAAATAATTTTAGATAGAGAATAACAAAAAATAGTTATGTTATAGGACACAATTTAGATTCACATTTCTGAAACTCCTCTGATCTCTTTATTGCTAGACACTGTAAAATTACCCTGGTATATTTTTATGCAGTGATAGCAACCTGAGATCAGGACTTAAAAATAAATCAAATAGGAACTTCTGTGTGTGTACAACAGACATATCAATCTATAGCGGAGGCTGAAGAAATTACATTAGGGAAACATTGTCCATGATACGTTTGTTTTTAATGCAGATTGAGAAAGCATGTAGTATACGGAGGATTACTCAAAGCTTCGTTTAGGTTCTTTGCTTTTTTAAAATAAATGCAATGGTAATTATAACGGAAGTGAGGAGACACAGTCCCACGTTATACAGTCTAGACGAAAACCTTAGCTTTCCTTTCTGAGGGTAAGGACCTATCTAGCTATCCGTGTTTTGAACATGCCCTGTAAGAACCCAAAAGCATCACTGACCTAGTGATATCTGTTCAAGTATGGGTTCCTCACCTTTTGCAATCCCTCTCAGAGCCAAAGTTTTGTTCTGTTGAAAACTGTGACTACATTCTGACTGACTTCCAGTTGGACAGGAGCAGTGTTCATCCCTTTGATGCCTTTGAAAAACAGATGGCATAACGGTATCATCCTGAAGGCAATATATAGCTATAGGGGAGATGTGCACATATGCATAAAGACAAGTAAGGAAAAAAGTCAGCTTTTTGGTTTGTTATCCACGCTCTGGCGGATCTCTGTCCCCCATTATCTCACAAATTCTCTTGTGTGACAAAAGAAAGACTTCAGGTTTACTGCTGCCTTTTCCCTTACATGCTGAACAATTCTAAATTAAAGTGCCTTATACAGTTCTTTATGGCTCTTTGACACCCAAGTCAAATGAATTAGGATAGAATTCAATGCTTTCCTTAATGCAGTGTTGTACAAGGCTACGCACTGAGCTTTATAGCAAAAGGAAAACAGCTGCATAATTCACAGAAGAAGCATACATCTGCCTGCACTAGGTAAAGCACAGATTGCTGGAGACAGCATAGGGCAGACTATGTGGAACAAAGGCACAACATTTATTTTGCTTATGAACCCAAAGGTCAAGTGATTTCTAGTCATACACCAAAGGAGACAGGAGCAGAATGGGCAACAATGAGAACTGCTGTGGACTTTAAAACAACATGAGTCAAATATTTGAAAATCAGCATTTCAGCCACTGGAAAGTTGCCCATATGGCAGCAGGCACTAGAAGTTTGCCCATCCATGAGATCAGGAACAAAAACAAACTCCTGCTCTCCATTATCCTGGTGCACAGGAAAGTTTGAGGAGATGAACGCTCACAGCCTACAGTTCAGAGGAAGTGTTCAGGTTCCCAACTTCTATCGCCATAAACTATTAACTATGTATGAATAAAGCATCCATGGTATTACATGCATTTGGAAACAAGGCAGTTCCTCAAAGGAAGTGCTATTCAGTTGTTTTTATACATCTCAGTTAGATGTCTTCTCGGCATCTAGAAAGGAATATAACCCAGGTAGGGCTGCTTCTCTGAGTCAGTTTCCTTCCTGACTCCTCAAGAGGTATTCTACTCGGGGCAGTACAACCCCTGTTGCAGAATATCCAAGAAGTATTTCTGGTCCCACCAAAGGCCCTTCCTGCGTAGCTTGGCAGTAGACAAGGCTAAAAAGACCAAGCGTGCAGGTTCATATACTTTGCAATAGCAACAATACGATACACCCTACAATAACTTTAGGAGGATATCATCAAATTTAAAAAAAAAATCTATAGAGGGATAAATCGGATGGTAACAGAAACCCATGATAAAAAAAATGAGTTTTCACTAAACTGTTCAGTATAGGAGTAAACAAATCTCACTTTATTGGCACGCCACCATTGAATTAACCTTTACAAACAGCTGCACTTAATGGCTAGTTTGTTTTGTTTTTACACGTGTCAACATAAGATAAATTAATACATCGTTTGAATTAGAGGGCTAAAAATGCTCCCGTTTAAAATAAGAATCTGGTTAATCGCTGGTGCAACAAGATTTGTAGTTATTATATGCCCTGGAAGGAAGACCAAAAGCCAGATTAAAAAATAACGGATAGAAAGACCACCTGTTGATTTCAGGTGGCTTTCAGAAAGCATCTCATTCATAATTTCTGTGAATAAATAAGTGACCCATTAAAGTTGAATGCAGCTTTAACCTACTTGTCTCTATCTCACACAGCATTCACATCTACATCAAACTGCCTTTTAGTGCTGAACGATCTAAGTAATTATTCTAGCAGCAGATAAATGCCTAAACATGCATCAGTGACTTCCTAGTGGGGGTGTTAACAATTTTTAAAAATAATTCAGATATACTTTAATTTCGACTGTTCAATAAGGCAACAGAACTAATGTCTACAGTGAAACTCCTTCAAAGAAAACATAAACAGATCTAAATCTGCTTGGCAAAAAATAGGTTCACATCCCTCTTTCTCTTCCACTGCTCATCAACACTCCAGTTTTCAACTGGATCCCAAAGCTGTGGACACAGAAGTAACGTATTAATGAAAAGAGAGATGCAGACTGTACTGGCAATACTGCAAGAGCACCTGCGTTAGCAAGACGGGCAACTTACTTTTGTATACGCAGAAGCGTTTCCGGTCTAAACATCTTCAAGCGTTTAGAGAAAGCTTACCAGCCTGTGCTGGTAACTACACACAAGTTTATCTCTGCAGGCAGACAAAGACTTACACATTATAGAAGAAGTGCAAGCGCTTCAGTACAACTCTAGTAAAGGTCGTAGTAAAGTAGTGCAGAAAACAAATATTCACCTATCATGGTATTTTCAAATCTTAAGACTGCGCCTTTTTAGCATGTTTTAAAATTTCACTCTTCATATTTAACGTATAGCCCGTGAGTGAAAGCTGCCACAGGGGAAAAATGTGGTTATTTTTTTCCCTTGAAGCACAGTGATGAAAACGCACCTTCCAAACATTGCGTCACTGACGCATTTCATCTTTCTGAAGGACTACCTCCAACACTGGAACAGGAGGGCAAATGACCACACTTATTCAGTAATAGCTTACTGTCTTTCATGGTATCCATAAGTGATTTCCCTACTACGGAAAAAATAGGCTTTGAGTCTATAACTCACTAATAACTCACTAAAGAGTGATAGCTGCTCTATTACAGTTGACCTCGGGTGGATTCAAATGACCTCGAACGGAAACTTCTATTTCTCCTGTCAGAGAGATCCTGGAGAAATCAAGCTAGTCTCCTTTCTCCTGCAGAAATCCTGGAAAGAGAAATCACTCTGTCACTTGCGAGCGTCTCTCTGCTTCAGAAAGAAAGCTAATGAAAACTAAATCCTTACAAAGGTAAAACAAAAGATATATCATTCTCTCTCTCAGCTGCAGGCCTTTGGTTACTCCATTCCAAAAGTTGTTACTATTTGCCAAAATGTCATAAAAACGTTTGGCTGTCAAAGTATGAAATAGTTTTAAAATGCCAAGTTATTTGTTTGGTTGATTCATTGTCGAGTACCGCCTGCAATGGTCAGGTTTTCTCACACAGACAGGCAAGCGCTTTGATGAGCGTTGGTCAAGGAGGGCAATTTCACTCAAAGGCTGGAAATTACCTCCCACCTACTTGTCTACTAGAACAGAAATTTTGCTTGCTTCCTGGCCTAAAACAGAGTGAATCTATAGCAGTCAAAATCTAAACCCATTCAGGTAGAGCTATAGATTTTCACTGAATGATCACCACCGTCTAGAACGACGAGGGAATTATTGGCCAGGTAAGTCAGTCCTACTGGATAAGAAAGCCCATGGCTGATTATAGGCTTAAAAACAGAAAACTCCTCAGGTTTCCCCAAACATAGCACAGCCTGGTTACAGACATCCGTTACTATAATATGATCTTCTTTGTCAAAGGCCACAGCCGAAGCGTATATTCTGGAGGGGAAGATGAGGTTCAGACCAAAACTATCCATCTGGCCGATGAGTTTCATGTCCGCACTGAATATCTTCACGCGGGTGCTGCTGTTGTTCGGCCCTTTGGCTTTCAGGTGCTCTACGACTGCAATAGCGCCCGAGGCCTGAGAGACGGCGACGCCTCTCGGGCTGGTTAGTTTAGACTGGATCACCTGCGACTTCTTCAGCTTCCCCTTCCCGAAGTCAGCCGTCAAGAGGTACAGGGCTCCGGCCTCCGAATCGGTCACGACCACTTCGTTCTCCCGGGTGGTGTCCAAGCCCCACGGCAGGCAGAAGCCCTCCCGGAGGGCCAGCGTCCCCCTCCCGTCAAAATCAAACGCCTTCACCGCCCGGTCTCCGCCGTCGGTGACCACCACGTGGCCGTCC